GCCTTTCTAATCCAATTATTCCCAGCTGTTCGTTGGGGAAGGACATCCAGGGACATCCAGTCCATTTTTAGAATGTGAAATGAGGAATTTTCTTTGGTTGGCTCTGTTGTTTGCCAGCTGGCCTGATTTGAAATGTCAGTAAACTGGTGTTAGTTTTGGACGGGGGAGTGTGGGTCAACGTGAGGGGTGGGGGTTAACAGCTGGTGGGATAGCATGTGCTGTGTGAGGAAGAGACAGAGGAGATGAAGCTAAATTTTGGAGGAGTGTCAGGGGCATCAGTATTTGCACAAGACAGCCAGTGAAGGCATGGCTTTTTTCAGATTTAGATTTTTTTAGATTTAGAGTGAGCAAGCTTGAAAATTGAGAGTTTCTCTAATAGACTTGAGATGGCTCTTCTGCACAGAGGGCACATAAATGTCTGCAAAGGGTGACCTGGTGGGTAGTTGATCATCACCATAATTTCTGCAAAAGATATTTCTGGAGTTTCATACGCAGTGAGGAGTTTGTAAATTAAGCTGTGTCCTGATCTGAAATGTCTTCAAGCCTTCCTGCCATTCCCCTTCGTCCTTATGGCTGTTCAGGATTTTTCAGAGGGATTGGCAGCTTTTTTCCTCCATGACTGTTGTTAAGCTCTTTTGCTGGTCGGTGTTAGGTCTCAATAAAGTCACCATGTGGTGAGCTCTGGGCACATGGGTATCTGGGCATCCAGTTCCTACTAAGGAGTGAAATTTAAAGAACCACACCCAAAAGTTCAATAGCATTTAGGATCAAAAAAGTATGTTAGTTTTTAATATTCCCTTTTTAGGAAGAACAAGCACTTTTAATTTACGTAATTGCTCATATCTAGATAAAATTCTGAGCTGTTTCAGGGCAGGAACACTCAGAGTCCTGCCAATCCCCAAACAGGCCAAAAGTGTATGAGATTATAAATAAATCTTAAAACTTTTTATTGTGGTTTTTTTTAACTCCTAGCAAGGCAGCCCCCATTCTAACTCAAAAGCAATCGGATCGTTGTTTTTGTGCTCTCCATTTATATGAGAACAAGAGGTCACTGGATGACATTACTGCTTTGTAAATTTAGAACAAATAAAAGGAAATGCTACTTCACCTAGTGCGTCGTCATCCTGTGGAATATACTGTTCCAGGATGTTAGTCAAAAGCTGTAGCCGGAACATAAAAAATAGCTGGACCATGCTCGTTTCTAGCCGCGTTCGCCAACAGGGATAACCAAGCCTCGTGTTCCAGAGCATCGGCTCATCGCAGATGTAGCTGAGAGCAAACACCCCAGACTCCCTGGCTGGGAAAGCTTTTCAGGGGGAAGATTGCTGTGGCTTCTCTTGGAGGTGACAAGAATGATTTTTTTTTTTTTTTTTGGTGTGAGACGTTAGATTGATCATCGGTCTCGTCTAGACAGCGCAGTGTATGTAATAGCCTTTCTCCCTCTGTTAGTATCCTTCAACAGGTGGATGTCTGGATTTGAAATTACTGGCTGAAGTAGGAGGAGGTGAAAGTGGTAGGATGAGTGTTTTTTCTTTCCCTGTGAGTGAGAGCATGTTTCTGTTAATCTCAGTTCTGCCCTTCTTCAGGAAGTGTTGTGGCGTGCCTGTTGCACATCAGCCTGCGCAGGTAAGACCAGCGGCTGCCTGCAGTGCAGGGAAAACAGGAGTGTCTTACGCTCACAGGGTACCCGGTGCTGGCTGTTGTGTGTGTGAGGCTGTATGAAAGGCGAGAACTGTTGAACCACTCTGTGAAGGAAGTGTCACTATTAACACGTTTCTGGATTCCTAATTATCCTCATTAAAATATTTAACCGTAACACCACTGCACGTTAATCAGAAAAACAGGTTTGTATGGTTTCTTAATTTCCCCCAAGAATTGTTACACTAGTTACATTAAAATCTTATCTTCCTTCACAGTGAAGGCTGAATTGTCCCAACTTGTCCTCCTTAGAATAGGAGTGAGGTTTGAGACTGTATTCTTGTATTTCCCATGTCTGATGACACCACTAAATCCCAATGCAAATGCTGCTTTAGAACTGACTAATGGAGAGTGCTCTTCATATATTTATCTTGCACAAAGTTACATTTTATTTGCAGTTTTGTAGTTACACAAGAGACCCTTTATTTTAATTCTGTGACACTTTTTTTGGATGATTCAAGTATGAAAATCTTCTTGATCTCTTTATTTGACCTCTTGTCTTATAAACTTTAACTTTGTTCTTTGGACAGAGGATTGTCCAACACTGAGTGTGGGGATTTTTAAGATGATGCCGTAGGTGACTTAAGAAGGAGTCAGTGATTTTGTGTATTGGACAGTCTGTTCAGTGATCCAGGATGTCAGTAGCCTCAGAAAGTAATTTTTGTCAAAGGAGCATCTGCATTTCTGTATTTTATGCCAATATTTTAGATTTCATGTCTTCCAAGATGATTTAAAAATACTATGTACTTTGTATTTGGCTCCCCCCCCCACCCCCACCCCCCCAAAAAAAAGAGAAAAATAGGAAAAGGGACAGCACTGAATAGGAGTGTTCTGAAATGGGATCGTAATGATAATAAATTAGTTTTAGCAACTGTTTTAAATTATTTTTCCCCACTGCCCAAGAGAATGCCAGTAGCTTGTTGAATGAACTGGCGGTTCCTTACAAAAACTGCTGGTTTTAAAACGATGAAAGGTCCTTGGATGCTTTGTCCTAGCATGTTTGGACTTTACATAGGGTACTGTTGTACATATGCAATTATGGATGTTCTTGGCTTTGCCGCCAGAAAAAAGTGGGGCCCTGCGCTGTCTGAACAAATTATTTGAACTTGGTTTTACTTCCAGGGGACAAGCTGCTTCCTCTTAGCAGGACTTCAGAGATGCAGCTTGTTCTTCTCTAACTTCACACTGATTTTTGCATGCTCCGTAAAAGGTTTCTCTAGGGTAGCCTTTCTTGCATAGCAGAGTTTTTGATGGAAATACAGTTAACCGCCCACTTTTCTACTTTCCCAAGGAAAAAGAAAGACTCCTGTGATTACCTTCTTTGGGAATAAATTTTATCAGAGCTGGAATTGTTTAAAGGAAAAGTCAGGGAAGAGGGAAGGAGTTATTCAAAGTTCTATTTTTAGAAAATTGTAAATATTTATTTCTGTTTGCTTACAATTGATACAGATCAGGTCATTTTGTCCAAGACAGAATGCTCCATGCCAGAACTCTGTTTCTAATATGAATGGCCAGTCCTTGCTTTAAGAAGGTATTTAGCTCCATTCATTGCCTACTTAATGTGGCTGTAGCGCCCTTTCTAGGTATTGGTAATACCTCTGCATAAAGTTAGTGTTATTGCAAGTGAATGCTGCAGTCTATCCTATGAAAAGAAATATATTTTGAAAATTGAAGACCTTAAAATAAAGCAGAAATTCACAAGTGTGTCTTTTTTGTTGATATTACATGCACATTTCTTAGTGTATGCTCTGATGCACTTCAATATCAACTAAAAGTTTCATGTTCAACTTCAGAGGTTTTTATTTTTAATCTGTTCTATGAATCATAATGAGAGAAGCAAGAAACAGACTGGAAAATGAAGAAACAGACTGGAAAATGGTAGTTAACAGGGGTCTTGTATTGGGGTGATGTGTGTGGTTTTTTAGTGTTCATTGACAAAACCCGCATGCTTGCGAGAGCCACATGGGCTTCATCAACCTGACACAATCCTGGTTTGTTTTAATCTGCTATTTCAGATGTTAGGGTACAGTTTGCTGGAAAAGCAGATGATGCTGACATTTTTTTCCCTGTACAAAATGTAGAGGGGCACATGGGGGTCTGGGCTGCTGGAAGTTTTTAGAATTGACATAAAGGGGAGCCTTTTGATTTTTGTTAATGGTGCTGTTAATGCAGCTTTTCTTAAATCCAGATCTTGCAAACACTTCAATATTGGTCTAATTTCAGAAGTCAGTTGGATGGAAATCAGTAAGAGGTGTGCACAGGGAGGAAGTGTTAGTTAGGTAAGATAACTACAGTGTGGGGAAGAAGGACTTTTGTCTTAGGAAGAATAAATGTTGATTTATAGTCAAGTCTGGACCCCAGCTGAATGCGCAACTCTGTGGACAGCAGACGTGGTCCTCTGAAGAGCTAGGACCTTTCATTTCTCTCTGCTGCCGCCATCTGACAGAAGGAGAGAGCATTGGTGGTAGGCTACACAGAGACCTGTCTGCCTTCCTGGGCAGAGGGGAGCTTCGGCCACCCTGAATGTCTTCTACTGGTTTGTTAAAACACTGAACTGTTTATTTAACACAGGGCAACTAACGCATGGGAGTTAGCCCAGGGTAGAAACACACTGAGGAGAGTATTTTTGGAGGAAGGCAAACCACCACGACCTCAAGCTGCTAGTGGAACATTTGTTGGAGTATCTTTTACGTAAAACAAGCCCTCAGGAAACCTGAGGGTTCAAAATGTGGTGATTCCTCTTCTAGATTGCTTATTTGATTTCTCTTCTAGATTGCTTATTTTGTTTGATTTCTCCCCTCCTCCCTCACCGCTTGTCATGACTCTAAACAGGTTTTTAGTATGATGTTAAAGAGCACGTTATCTAATTATTAATTGCTAGAAACTGGTATATTATAGTGTTAACAAAATGTTTTTATGTTGTTGCCAATTTTAAAAGTCATTAAGTCATTAAGTACTTAAAAAAAACTTATGCAAGTTCTGCACATGTAATATATTAACTTCTACTGCTCTGTGCTTGATTTGTGTTTTGCTGTCATTTGGGGCTGAGAGATTTCTTTACTCAGTTCAGTATTGGGAATGACAGCTAAAATCTCTGTGGTTCTGTACATTTATGAAGGAATTAAGGTATGTTACAGTGGAAGAAAATCATGGTTGAAAAGTGCAAATAACTTCCATTCTGTTGTGCAGCTTATTGCCTCTGAAAATAGCTTCAATAGACTACACTAGTGATAATGTGTTCTCTTGCTGTCTGTCACTGACATGCCCAGAATACACACTATTAATTTTCTCTCACTCTTCAGATTATCACTCCATGTCGGAAGCTCATCCTTTGTGCTGATAACAGAAAAGAGATGGAAGATTGGATTGCGGCACTGAAGACTGTACAAAACCGTGAACATTTTGAGGTAATAGGAAAATGTGTCCCTTTGCACTCTGTGCCTTCTCTTCTAAATAACAGCTTGTTTTGAGATTGGAGTCAGCTTCCAGTGAAGATAATAGAGGTCGTTTTTATTGACTGTAATGGGTATAGTGTTAGGCCTTCTGTAAAAACTATCCCAAATACATTGAAGTGATTCTCCAAAGAATGCTTGTGGCTTCATATACTCTCCCTTGGTAACTTTGAGAGCACTTTTCAGAGTATGGGTAGGTTTTGAAACACAGTTCTCCTCCCATTATTTTTTCACTCTTCAGTTATCCTCCCTGTCCTAATTCACGTCTTGCCTGCTTGGTATTCTGCCTACTGCAGTGCATCTGCTTTTTGGGGCTGTAGTTAGACTGCCACCAAAAGAAGCTCTCTTGTGTTTTCCCTGCTCTGATGCTTGTCTCCCTGTTGTCTCTTCCCTTATGCTGGCACAAGCATTCCTCTGCTATGCAATAAACCAGGTCAGGGAACTGATCTTGCTGAAAACTTAATCCAACAAAAAAATGGGGAAGGGAAGGATCAATTCTCCAGCAGATAAATTCTCCAGTTCATTTCCCTACGCACACTAGTGAGGCAAAGATGGGAGGTAGGACGGGAGCAGGTCCCTGTTGTCTCTTCCCTTATGCTGGCACAAGCATTCCTCTGCTATGCAATAAACCAGGTCAGGGAACTGATCTTGCTGAAAACTTAATCCAACAAAAAAATGGGGAAGGGAAGGATCAATTCTCCAGCAGATAAATTCTCCAGTTCATTTCCCTACGCACACTAGTGAGGCAAAGATGGGAGGTAGGACGGGAGCAGGCATGAACTCTTCTGGCTTAAAGGCCTTCTGGAGTTACTGCTATTGTGTATAAACTGCATGTGGCCTACTCTTCCCTAGTAAAAAGTGTTCTGGCTCTGCCTTTCCTGATTGCTGTGTGCAAGTCTTTGTTTTAAGGAAAAAAAGTCTTGTTGCTCTACTTTAGGCTTTGCTGTAATACATTTATTTTATTAGTCTACCCAGTACAGCATGGACCATTTCTCAGGGATGCATAACTGGTACGCCTGCTCACATGCTCGGCCAACGTACTGCAATGTGTGTCGGGAGGCATTATCTGGAGTCACATCACATGGGCTTTCATGTGAAGGTAAGCGTGCTTTATTGTCTTCTGTTTTGGGAGCGTCATCTTTATAGCTCAGTGCCATGTTCCAGAGATAATTTAAGACAAATGTTGTTAACACTCTGCAAAAAGATGTAGAAAAATGCTGCATAATAAACTTGAGAGAGCTACAGGCTGTGTATGAGACTGGAGGTCTTTCTGGACCTGATGCTGAAACCCTTTGCTGCTAAATCCCTTTGGCTTCACGGAGAATTTTCCTGCAGAAGTCAAGATCAGGATCTTGGCATTTTGTAGGATAATAGATGTGATGATGTTTTCATGCTGGTTTTAGTGTTGGCCCTGACAGTAATATAGCTGATTTTTTTTTTTTTCCCCATATACCCAAATACTGCCATCCCTTATTAAAATCACGTTTCTGAAGTGAACAGGTATGTACTTCTGAGGTAACAGATAGAATATTCGTAAGAATGCTCCTGTTCGTAAGAATAGTCATATTTGTAAGAACATCCTTGTTAAGTGTTTGAATGCCAGGAGGTTATTCTTTTTCAGCTTTGGCATAGCAGACATGCCTGGCTGCACACAGCTCATACTTCTAGCGTGAATGAGGTTACACCCACGCTGTGTAAAAGGATGCAGGAGTGTGTGACTCTGTAAATCATGTCAAATTTAACAAGGTGATAACTAAGCTTTGTACAAGCAACTGGCAAAAGTGACAAGGCATGAATTAATAGCTAGCTCATCTTACTCAGTACGCTTAGAGCTGATAGTTTTGGCAGTGCTAACAAGGCTAGTGTGTGCCTGTGCTTTCTTCTGGAGCCAAATATGGTCACTTAGGAAAGCTTTTGCACAGACTGCCACATTACACGTTCTGAGGCGAGATTAATATATTCTTCTCTTCCTCTCTAGTGTGCAAGTTTAAAGCCCACAAGCGGTGTGCTGTGCGGGCAACCAATAATTGCAAGTGGACCACTCTGGCCTCTATCGGGAAGGATATCATTGAGGATGAAGATGGGGTAGGCGTCAGTCTTAACTATTCTAGCCTTATCTTGATGCTGAAGCACTGGCATGTGCTCTACAGCTTTCCTCACTGTACAAATAGCAGATTCTGCCTTTATGTGTTAGCGATGTAGGAAAGGCCTTTACTGTCAGAGCATGAGATTCTGCGTGAAAAGTCCAGCCAGGGTAGCGAGGACTCCTTAATAGGAAGAGACTGCTGCTATGGACCAGGGGAGTTGAGGTTAAATTGTTGGAGGCATGGGGAACTTGTCTCAGTTTTGGCAAAAGAAAGATAAATGGGTGGTTGGAACAGTACCTTAGCATATGGGATGTCTGATGCAAGTCAGTTTTTCCTGGGTAGCCTGGGGCAAGTCACGTGGTCTCTTTGTGCTTGAGCGTGATATAAAATGCCAAAAGAGGTCCTCAGGTGTTTCCTAGAAATTGCCTTTGCTGTCCTTAAACAGTGCATATGAAGGCTTGCCTCTCTGTACATCACAGTGCCGCAGTGCACCCTGTGCCCTTGAGTTGCGTTCTGGAAAGTCCATATTGCTTCTCTCCCTCTGTACCATTTGCAGATCTCGATGCCACATCAGTGGTTGGAAGGAAACCTGCCTGTGAGTGCCAAATGCACTGTGTGTGATAAAACCTGTGGCAGTGTCCTACGTTTGCAAGACTGGCGCTGTCTTTGGTGCAAAGCCATGGTGAGTTGAATAAACATGATCATCAGTAAAGGGATAGTCTTTGATCAGCTCTTTGCTGTGTTCTTTTAAAGACATTTACTTAAAATGAAAGTTCTAACTGTGCTGTCATGAAGGACTTTATTGTTCTTCCTCCAGATGATAAACAGCCTGCAAGAGAGAGAAATTTAAATTTGTGCTGAGAAGTATCACTGTGATGCATAAAAGTAAGACCTGAAATAATTGTCTGACTTCTCTGCAAGCTCATTTTCTTTTGATAGTGGGCTTTCATAGAAGAATCTAATTACACTAAATATGAATCAATGCCTCAGGCATGGGAGGTATTGGATTTTAAGGAGCCATTATTTGTCATTTCTACAGGTTGAAAAGGTACAACAAAAAAAGATAATAAAGAATACTAAGCTATTTTAATAATAGCAATTTCCCTTCCCATTGCAGTAGGTTTCTCTTGCCTAACCACTGCAGTGATGCAGATCTTGCTATGTTTCTAGTTATCTATAAGATTAATAAAAGAAGTATCACAAAATATGTGTGTATAGTGGGGAGGGGCAGGGGCTCAAATCCCAAGCAAACCCTCTATCTTGCAGTTGTCGTATACCAGAAATGACTGAAGTGCCCTACTCTACCTTGTATTTCCTTTTTTGGCTGGCTTTATTAATCCCTTCTTCTCTTACCTCTTATGCCCCTCATGTCTTCCTGCTTTGTTTTTTGTTTTCATGGATTCCCAGCTTTTTCTTTTGTGGCTACTTTTGATCTCTCAACTGAGGCTAGGATTTTGAAAGCAGAATGCCTGAAGGCTCTTAAAGCCGCATAATCTGTTACCTGGTCCTCTCACCACTCAAAGTGCTAGTCTCATAAATTCAAATGGCAGAAAAAGTACATACTAATGGAAGGAGGAGAATTAGTAGAAGACTCTGATTAGATCATTCTTAAAATAACTTTATCGATTGACATTTCCTTGGATTCTCCCCTTATTTTCTACTCTTCCTTTACAACCGCTTGTTGGGTGGCTTTTTGAGTTACATCACAGTGCCCAAAAGAGTCTGAATGAATGGTTTTTGTTGGTGTTTTCAGGTACACACAGCATGTAAAGAGTTGTTGCCAAACAAGTGCCCTCTTGGGCTGTGCAAAGTATCTGTCATTCCTCCTACTGCTCTTAACAGCATTGATTCAGATGGTAAGTATCGCTAGTAAGTAGTGCCTTCTTTCTGTTCCTCTCAGTCACAGTCCCTTGAGTGGACACTATTAATGTCAGACTCTGTCAACTGAAAATTCTGCTTTTTGGTGTTGCTGAAATTCCAAACTGGAAGATATTGCTGAAGTATGGCAGTGAACTGTTTGCTTTGCTTTTCCATTCAGTTTATTACCCTGTAACGTCAGTATTTGCTGAGCTGCAGCTGTTAAAATTTATTGAGAACAACTATATTGCAGAAGCACTTTGGGAAGGTTGGGGAAGCTGAAAATTTTGGCATACTGCTAGGAGATAAGTGCGACATTTGGCAGCACGAGGTGTGGTTCATGCTGGATGCAGGGCTGTGCGCATTTGGCATTTACCCAGTGAGTGCCATAAGCACAAGGAAAGTATTAGCTTCTTCGTAGCTGTGCTGGGGTGTGGGGTGTTGGTTTTTTTCTCACTCCATCTCCATGGGCAGCTTCACATCTCTTGGCTTTTCCTCCCTTTCCCTTCCCTTTTCCCTGACAGGTTTCTGGAAAGCTACTTGTCCCCCTTCTTGCACAAGCCCTTTGTTGGTCTTTGTCAACTCAAAAAGTGGAGACAACCAAGGTGTAAAATTTCTAAGAAGATTCAAACAGCTACTGAATCCAGCCCAGGTCTTTGACCTCATGAACGGAGGACCTCACCTTGGGTAAGCAGATGTTCTGTGGAAGTACACATTCCTTGTAAATACCAGAAAAGTATGAGTGATTTATTTGATTATAAGCTCATCCTCAAATATAACAAGGAACCTATTCCTCAGAGAAGACTGAACACATACGAAGGTTGTAAGGGTTTTCCTCTCTCTCTGTTTAGTGTTATTGATTAGCTAAAACCAAAAATGTTGTTAAAAAAGGTTATTATTTCCATTCATCAGTAACAGCAGGACAGCTTGAGGGGTTTTGGAGAAATTCCAGAAACACTCCCCTGGAAGAAGACCAAGCATGGAAAACTTGAATCCAGAAGAAAACTTGTCAGCAAACAGACTTGTAACAGGCATCCTGACGTACTGTTGACTAGAGTTAACTTGAGTTAAATTGGGTGAACAGACAAATGTCATAGATAGCAAGTGAATATTTTCAAAATGAGATTTATCCAGAAATAACTTACCTGGGAAGTATGTGAAACTTCCATCCCTTAAAGATTTTATGGTGATATTGGGAAAACATTTCTTATGAACGCTTTTGGTAAAGTTGATTCTGCCCTGGGATCTAGATGACATTTCAGGCTTGTTTACCAGATTACACTAGAATGTCTATGAATAAAAAAAAGTGAGTGCTGTGGAATAAATTCCTTTAGTGTATTTCTGCGACTCTGTTTAAAAAATAAAATTGGTCTCTAGTTTGCTCCCTCCGAATATTTCTCTGTTGCATTGGATTTGAGTAACTTTTGTCATGAAGGCCATTTTGTGCTTCTTATTATAAGAGCCAACACAAGGTGAATTTCCTTCATATTTTTCTAAATGTGACTCAAAGTCTATGACCTGTAGATGCAGGGTGCTAAATCTGGGAGCATCCACTCTGGATGAGTGACCATTAGGTTCTGCTTTCCTGAGAACTGTTGTGGTTTCTTGCCATAGTGCATTGTAAAACACTGGCCTTTAAAACTGCAGCATGCTGTCCAGGGAATGTGTTTGGCTGATAAATAATTTATAGAAAACTTTTAAAATTAAATCATTTTCTACTTCCCCTCCCCAGTTGGACTGGCTATAGAGAGGAATTCTGCTTTTAAGCAGGGGAGAAGGGAAGGGAGGGAATAAATTATTTTCTCAAGCTGTGGTGCACACTTCTAAAACAGCTGCTCTTGTTTGCTTTCTTAAAAAGGAAATGGTGGTACAGGGTAAAGGCTGCCTCTTAATAATTTAAATATTCTCAACTGGTGCCAGTCAAACTGTACCATAAGATGTTGTCATCTCTCATAGACATTTTTCATGTGTCAACAGTGCTTGAAGAAATAAGGATTTTCATGTACTACAGTAAATCCTGTTTAGTTAATAATAATAAAAAATATATATTTACAAAACCAAAATAAAAGCAGGCAGTAGTTCTGGAAGATGTTCAGTAAGAAGCACAGTTTCAAACAGGTTAAGGAGAGGTTGGTTTTAATATTCTGAAAAGAATGAATAGAGAAATTCACACTTGTCTTTTTGGTGAGTTGGTTGCCTGCCTGCAGGACAGACAAGGCGCTAGAGCATTGATTTATGTTGCTTTCCCAGAAGAAGGACTAAAGCTTGTGAGGCTTTACATCCTCTTAAGTTGTCTGCTTACTGAATGACTGCATGAAGTTCCCACTCTTCAAGCTTTGCTTTAATTGCTGTGGCCTTGCGTGCAAAGGCAGTGACATCAGACCACTCCAAACAGTGACAAATAACTAGTGTTAGGCTGAACACAGCAAATCTGCAAAAAGGAATTAATTCAATGGATAATGAGCTAGCACATGCTTTTTTCCTCTTCTGTTCAGACAAAAGTGCCCTGCTTTAGTAGAGGAGTGTGTCTGGGACATACTTCTGTAGTCAATAGTCATTGTAAATTGCTTAGCTGTATTTATAATTCCTTATTTATAATCATTTTAATTAATCTGTAATCTGACAGTGGCCCGTATTCATTGCGAATTCAGAGCCTACTTTAAGCAAATCTGCCATGTTTATTACCTAGATTGGAATTGTTTATCATTTCTTTCTATAACAGCTGATTGTTCTTCTTTCTTGGTTTTTTCTTGCCCTTCTCTGCAGTTTACGCTTATTCCAGAAATTTGACACTTTCCGGATTCTAGTTTGCGGTGGGGACGGAAGTGTTGGCTGGGTTCTCTCCGAAATTGATAGCCTCAATCTTCACAAGCAGGTACCTACCCAACGAGCTGGGTTGGATGAAAGAATGAAGGAATAACAACAGCATGGGTTGAAGAGGACTTTCTTTGATCATACAGATGTAGTTTGCCCCGGGACTGAAGCTGCTGAAAGCTTACCACAGCAGTGTTCTTGCAGTAGTTTTCTGCAAGAAGCAGTACCAGACTAATTAATTATTCCTATCTCCATTGCTTCCCCACAACTCCCTCTTACAAGATCCAGCTTTTGGAGTAGCTCTGAGTTACTCCTGCTCCATAGCCAGCAGACACTTAGACTCAGAAAGGGCTGCAGTTAGAAAACTGGGAGTTCCACAAGGGTAGTGCTCCTCATCTTTTCCCTTTAATTCTCGTGGTGGTGTTTCTGAGTCCTGGGATAGACAGAAACTTCACTGGAGTAGAGGTATCATACAGTGTTTAATTTGTTTCCATTTTGTCTTGGAGATGTCTATGCTAATTTTGCAGAAAAAGCAATAGCACCACCTGATGGTTAAATAAATATATCTGTAGAAGGGGTTACTTTTAGTAAGATGCTCCTCGAGGTGGTAGCTGTAATACACTCCTCTCTCAATTAACAACTTAAAAGTAGAAGAAATTTTTCCTTACTTGTATGCCTTTCTGGCTGTTTTCCCCATCCAATTACTTTCTCCTCCCCCTGGGACTAGCTGTTTCTCAATGTCTGGTCTGTGTAAGGAATCAGTCATGTTACTTGTTGCTGTTTGTGGCTTGTGTTTTCCCATTTGAATACCAGTTTTTATTTCTGTTTCTGTAATGTAGTGCCAGCTGGGAGTGCTGCCCTTGGGAACAGGGAATGATCTTGCCCGTGTGTTAGGCTGGGGGTCTGCTTGTGATGATGATACCCAGCTCCCGCAGATCCTGGAGAAGCTGGAGAGGGCCAGTACCAAAATGCTGGACAGGTGAGTAACCATCACTAACATCCTCCCCTGCTCAAGAGTTGTGTGAAAATACCCTTCCAGGAGAACTGGGCAGTTCCTGATTCTATCCAGCTGCTGGACTTCTTACTAATGCCAGTTAATGTTTTTTCTTTGATAATCCTCTGTCACCCTTTAGCAACAGAAGGTGGTCTGGCTTTCTGTGTCACTGCTGCAGAACAGTAATGAGAGAAATTGTCATATGTCCGATGTCCTCTCTTGTGTTCCAGAGTTCTCATCAATGGAGTTTGACAGCCTTACAGTCGTCATTTTTTTTTTTTTAAGCTAATTTTTTTTCTTGGTAAATTTGAACCAATTTATCTTGAGTTTGGCTTAGAAATGAAAGCTTAATGCAGAAATGGACATCTTTACTCCTAGTATTGATATCGCCTATATATCTTTGTACATTTAAAAATGCTTCTTATCTTTAGAGTTGCATCTTGGCATCTGTTATGTTGAATCAAGTAATGCCCATAGAATTTCTGTGAGAGAGGGAAGAAGTACAGAGAAGGTCCTTGTGCTGGAGGGTACTTGTTCATAGTGTCATCCCTTCCTCTTCCCCCAGTTCAGCCCTTCTGCAGTTCCATTGCAACCCTATGGCTTCCTTATGTCAGTTATGCCCCTGCCAAAGTGCAGTTTGTTCTGCTTGAGGTTCCAACCTGTTACATCCTTTGGATAAAGGAGGAAATCATCTGCTTTGTAGTGATAGCTATGATATCTCCTTTTCAACAGGTGGAGCATCATGGTGTATGAAACCAAACTCCCTCGCCAGGCCTCCACTTCCACAGTCACTGAAGATTTCAGTGAGGATTCTGAGGTACCTCATGAGATGCAGAGGGCAGGGGACTGGGAGCAATGGCCTCAGAACAGGCAAGATAGGAGGCAGTGGTTGAGTTCAAATGGAGCAGGCCTGAGCTATGACTTGGGTGAAGGAGGAGCTACAAAGATCCTGGGTCTTTAAGTCAATGAAGTATTATGGAGAAGGATGGAGGCTGGGTTACCAGAGTCGTCAACCATAATGGGGGATGGGAGGAAAATGCTTTGGAAGAGGACAGAGAGGAAATGATCTACTTTTATCTGCTGTCATGACATCATGTTGTTGAAATTGTGGAAAGCTGCATAGCAGTCGTAACAACTGTAAAAAAACAATTTTAGATCCATAGTTAATCAGAGACTCTTAAGAACTGCATTACTGATGATTTCTAGGTTCAGAATTAGTTTCTTCATCAGATTCAGATCTTCAGTGGGTAACTGAGCCCTGGACCACAGAACTTTTCCAAGGCAAAAAGAACCTGTAGAATGATAGGTACTCTCCGGGGAGCCAGGGTTACACTGCATATATTGCAATGTTGGGAAGCAGCACCCCAGTGGCTTGTTTCTGACTGTCACTAGGTGCAGAAGATTCTCTTCTATGAAGACTCTGTGGCTGCTCATTTGTCCAAAATTTTGACTTCTGACCAACACTCAGTGGTCATCTCCTCAGCCAAGTGAGTACTTACAGGACAACTGCTCTAAGTGAAAGTTGCATTGTGAAAATCCTGAGACAATCCTTGCATGACTTTGTTTTCACTACCTTCTTTGTCTAGGGTGCTTTGTGAGACAGTGAAGGATTTTGTGGCTCCAGGAGGGAAAGCCTATGAGAAGGCAACAGAAAGCTCAGAGGAATCAGAGGTCATGGCCAGGAAGGTAAAACTGGAAAAATTTTTTGGGTTTTTACTTCTGAAGTGGAAAACTGCTCTTTTTTCAGAGAACTAGGACAGCAGCAGTTCAGCAAGCCCTAAAAGAATGAGCTACCCAGTCTACTGTTAGTTCTGCTCAAATGTTCTTCTTCGCCTTGTAGTGCTCTGTCCTGAAGGAAAAGCTGGACTCATTGCTGAAGACACTGAATGATGAATCTCAAGCATCTTCATCTCTGCCAAACCCTCCTCCCACCATTGCAGAGGAAACGGAAGATGGTGATGGGTCAGGCAGTGCTTGTGATTCTTCTAGTGACCGGTCGGTGGGCTCGTCATGTACTGCACGGCCCCAGATATTTCGCCCCCGAGAACAGCTCATGTTGAGAGCCAACAGCTTGAAAAAAGCCATTCGTCAGATAATAGAGCATGCAGAAAAAGGTAACCTGTTAGGAGTCCTGCTTGTGAGTTGTTACAGGCTCTTGAGAAGAATAAATTTCCGTAATTCCAGAGGGGAGTAAGGTTCTTTATTAAAAACAGCTTTCCTGAGCTAGAAAAGCTATTCAGTAAGCCTGGCTATTTAGTTTCAGTATCATCTCTGCCAAGCCCACCTGTTTGAAACATTGCTTGGTAAATGAGCCTGAAGTTCAAGGTATGTTCTCTCCCGTAGGGCTGGTTTAGGAAGTTACTACCCTCCCACACTCTGTTCATTTGCGTTTCCTGTCTGTCCCCACCCATACCACAATTGTGTCAGCGCAACTGTTTGTGTGGCCTTGCTGTAAAACAGATCTGAAAATACTTGGGAAGAAAGTATTTTAAGTATTTTAACTTGGATTGTTTCAGAAATCTCTGTATAGTACAGCCCAGCAAAACAGTGCAGTGGTACAACTGCAAGAGAGGGCAGGAACTTCTTAAATTAGCTTTGTCACTGGGAAAATGTTATAATACTGCACCTTGACGCAAATCAGTTCTGTTCCAATGTAACTTCCTAGACAGGTGACCCTCTTCTCCACATCTTGACCCTTATCTCTCTCCAGCCGCTCACACCCATAGCTCAAAGTTTCATTTCCTTCGAAAGGCGTCAGTCTCCCAGATGTTAGTCATAAACTCAGTGGTTTAACTTAGACCAAAGGAAGTACTTAACCGCTTATTACTGGAGATAAAAGCATTGAAGTTGCAGATGTGACGTCGATGCACACCTAAATGTGCACTATGAACAACTGTGTAGTCAGTTACAGATCATTGCAATGTTGCTTGGATTTCCAGCAGTGCAGTAATGTATACAACCTATCCTGAAGGTGAAGTTACACGAGATGATGGAAGTTGAGCAAACAGCCTGCTTCTGGTGAAGTAGAGGTCTTGACCTCACTGCTGCCCCACTTTGCTGCTGCTTGCCTTATGCCAATTTGATGTTTGTTGGAGTTCTTTTGGAGCCCAACCAACTTGCTTAATCCAGCAAGAAGAGTTTATATTTCTGCTGGGCTAGTGGGCTGGATTGCCTTGTGGGTAGTTTTGATGAACTCCAGAGTCAGCACAAGAGAGGGGAAAAGGCTGAAGGAAGGGGGGCTCGTCCCCCTGCAGAGGCAGTGAGCGGTAGATCAGCTCAGGGCTGTTCACAGAGCTGTGCCCTGTGAGGGGTTGCTGGGGAGGAAAGCCTATTGATTACATGCAAAGGAAGTTTTGATTTCTTTAGGCAACATGCTAGCATTTAATTCTTACCAGCTCTTGGGCAAACTCCAGTTACGTTTCAAATGTATTTGTTCAACTTCTCCAAACTGTTTTTCTTCTTCCAAAGTATGTAATCTATTTCTTTCCTTTGTTTGTATTGTTTTTTACCAATTGCTGTTTTCTTCCTCCTGATTATATGTGTCTAAGTGCCCTTTTCAAGTGGCTTATCCTATCACCCCAGTACAGATTAAGCAAACAGAAAATTTATTAAATTTATCATTTAATGTCCATCTGGTTAGAATTTCTGGCAACATCTAAATACAAATAAATGGAAGCCCATCACCTGTAGCACAGTTTACATCTCAGGAAGCCCGAGTGCCTGTAGCATTAAAGGTGGACACTTCTATTTAGAGCCTCTCTGCTAAAGAGCTCAGCAAAGAAAACAGGAGGCTAAGCCAGCCCAGTTCCAGAAGATCTCCAGAGCAGAGCTTAGTTGAGACAAATGATATAGGAAAGCTTTTCGTTATTCCTGTTCTTTCCTTTGAGGAAACAGGGCCTTTAGAGTCCCATCCTATTGTTATTTACATCGGTGGGAGGTGTTCCTTGCTAGAAGAGCTGTGAGGCACTCACCTACTTTCTCTCTCCTTACAGCTGTAGATGAGCAGAATGCCCAGACCCAGGAGCAAGAGGGCTTCCTCCTTAGTCTCTCAGCCTCTGAAGAGGGCAAGGAGCTGAGGAACGAGGATAAAATCTCCCTGCAGTCGTCACACAGCAGCAGCTATGGAGTGTCCAAAGGGAGGAGCCAGCGGAAAGGTACTACTCCGGGTCTGCCACCATGCAGATCTTTGCCTGCGAATTACAATTCTGTTAGTTGTAAAAAGTGAGGGAGGTGTTACATGTATTACCTTCCAGGTTCTGCTTTTCTCTAATTTTTGAATGATTGCTCTTCAGATGCCAGGCCTTGCACGTTTCTATGCTCTAGCCTGTGCATCATACACGCCACTTTTCACTACATCTCTGATGGCTGGTCCGTGATCTTAGCATATGGAGTCTAGGATTCAGAAATTTTCTTGCACCTTAGCCAGTAATCCGAGTTCTCTTGGCCTTCAGTGCTTGGACAAGGACAGTCTTGAGCATTTTTCATGTCATCTACCTGATGACATTTCCCTGTAAGCCCCTGCCATCCTTTGCAGATGACAGAGAATGGAAGCCAGTTTGCTTTAGTAGGTTTAGTTATGTGAGTAATTTCTTAGAGATCCCCAATCACTGCAAATATATTTGAAACTTATCTGAGTGTTGATTGGGAGCCAAATACCCTGTCTGTTGTGCTGCTGGCACCAGCTTTTTCTCATCTCTATTTCTAATATTTGCATGTGGCATTTTGGTGCCTCCAATCTGTGAGGTTTTCTGGCTGCACATATACCACATCTGTCTCTTAATGACTGGTTCTGTCATCTCTTTGTTTTATGGTGGCTAGAGTGTTCTGCTGTTGAGTGATTCCTAACCCAGTCTTGGTGCTTGGGCTGTGCTGCTATGTGCTGCTCTGAATCACAGCATTATGTTTGTCAATACCCATGTTTGTGTTGTGTTTTACAGCCTCCAAGTCTCCTTGCGAAAGACTAATAAACAAAGGAAGTTTGTCGCTGGGCAGCTCTGCATCTCTTCCTCCCCAGACAGGAAACCGGGACAACTTGCCAATGCTGAACACAAAAATCCTCTACCCAAGTAAGTGTAACACCCACCACTTCCTATTGAGGCAGCCAACTGGAGTATGGGTGACAGCAGCACAGGCTGCAGTCTCCACGTGAAAACATGAAATTGCCCTGCCTGATGTCCTTTTGTGCAGGGTCCACTTGGAGAGAAATGCCTTCGAGAGTAACTTCCCACTGGGGCTGAAAAGTGGACGCTTGGAGGGAGCTGTGATAGTTTCCAGTTTGTAGCTGAGACCTAGACACAGAATTTTATTAACACTGTGCAGTGGCAGAATTTAGATGCCAATTACAAGGAGACATTGAACTCAAAGTAACCTTGAGAAGGCTGATAAGGTGATGCTGAGAGAGGTTTCTGAAGAGTGGGAGCCATAGACTGGGAGCAGCAGTCCCTTCATGTGAAGGCTGAAGTCATTGGAGGTGCACAGACCCAGCAGAATTCCCACCTCCCACATCTTGTGTAGCAACTTCTCCCCTTTACCGTGGTGCTGTCTTTCCACCTCTTCCCCCAAATTACTTGTTCAGATTGCTTCTTCTGGAAGCAGGTAATTTCCTTCTCTCTGACAAAGCTACTGTTTGTGGGTCGCCAGCTAATAATTTAAGAGGCAGGAGGCAGTAATTCTTGGGCAACTTGGAGAATAACTTCAGTCCTGCTCCTCTCTCTCTCCTCATTGAAGCAAAGACGTTGGATGTCTCACCCTGGAACAAAAAAGCTACTGCAGCAAATACACTCCTATTTCCCATTTCCATGTGTCTGTATAACTGGCGTTAGGTGATACCCTGTCAATCAAAAACCCTGCAGGCAGCCCCAGGAACCCTTCTCCTTATCGAGAGAGCTAAGCCATCTGGAGTGGAAGAAAGCACTATTGCTATTTGCTTTCCACGGTGAATGACAAGAGTTAATATATTCTGCCCTGTTGTCTTCTCTCTGAGATTGAAGTTACCTGTTTTCTGCTTATTATCAATCAGACTCTTCCCTGTGGTCAATTTTTCTACAGATATCCGTGCTGGCATGTCTGGTTCTTTGCCTGGGAGCTCTGTGATCAGCCGATTGTTGATCCATGCTGATCCCTTTAACTCTGAGCCTGAAAATCTGTGAGTATGCCCAGGAGGTTGAAGGGATGGAATGGGCGTTTCCAAATGGACCTCAGCAGAGAAGCAATTACTTTATAGAGCTAATTAATGGACTGCAGCAGCCCAGCGTTATGTAAATGAATTCATACGCTGGGTGCCAGTGAGGATCACCTTGTGTAGTTATACATGCAGTGACACATCTGAGTCGTGGTAGAAGATTTTTAGGTTTTAAGTGAGAATGAAATCTAGCTCAATCTTCTCCCTACACTCAGAGATGACTCCGGCTTCCACTTAGTAGAGAGTAACCTGTGGGGGAATCACTACCCTTACAGCATGGGCAGGTCACAACAGGGGAGGCAGTTGGAAAATGTGATGTGAAGACTTTCCCAGGCTGTTTCTGCTGAACTGTTCAATAGTAAAAATCCAATGATATAGTATTTAAGTTTTTTTTCATGCGATTCAGTGCCCCTGAGATGAGTAGCTGATACTTCCGAGCTCATTTGTCAGGCTCTCTGTAGGTAACACCTAATATATATATATATATATAGGCTTTTGAGTATGTTTCTGTGGCAAGGGGAGAATTGCAAATCTTGCAGCTGTGAAGTCTCACAGACGGAGGCTGCAGGCCAGGGATCCCCGCTCAGCAGCCACTTTCATGGTATTCCTTGTGGGTTTTAGGCAGTTCCCAGCAGTGCTTACCAGAGCACCTTGGCATACAGCCTTCTTGTTCTTCACCTTTTTGTGGAAGAGAATTATGAGGTGGCCAGAGGGGGCATGTGAGATGTATACCAAATGGTACGTAGATTTAGGAATGGGAGTTTTGTTCTTTTGTTTGGCAGTGAATGTTACACAGAGAAGTGTGTCATGAATAATTACTTTGGAATTGGACTGGATGCAAAGATTTCTTTGGACTTCAACAACAAACGTGATGAGCACCCAGAGAAATGCAGGTGGGTTTGGCTTTGGCTACTGTCAGAAGTGATTGAAACCACTTTATGTTTCTGTGCGGTTTTAAGCCAATTGTGCACAAATGTGCTGAATAGGTATATTGTCAATCTTGTCTGCATAATCCTCCTTCAAGGCTTGAAATCATGATGGAGGAGATTAGCTACTAATTTATTACTGTTTCATTATGCTGTTGCGGCTAGTATAAGATCTTTGAGTAGCTACATCGGTGTGGCTTTAGTGCATTGGTTCTATTTGCTTCATGATCTCACTCAGATTTTTCTCCTGGGCTTGCTATTTAGCTGTAAGAGAATCCCGTTTCAGCTCTAAATGCCACGGAGGCCTTGGTTCTGACTTAATACAAACCACAGATTTTGGCCTTTTGAATACCTGGGCAACTACAGGATGCTTTGTGTAGCCTGGGATGGGTACATTTGTTATACTTGAGCTAATACTGGAAAACGCTGTTGATGTCCTGGTCTACAAGATTGACAAGTTCTGTGCCAGGGGAATCTGTGTATGTTTCTGGTAATGTGTGTTACTCAGTCATCCTCAATTCTACCTGACATTTATTTAAAGGGGAGTAGTTTCCTAGCACAAGCAATGACCATTTTGAGTGCTTGACCCTTTTGGAAGCAAAGCACCTTTGTGTTTTAGGACGTAGGAGGTACCATTTCAATGTGAGGGTTTTTTCCCCTCTAAGTGAAAAGGTAAATGCTTATGCTAACTTTTTCTCTTTTGATTTGCCCCCTTAGAAGTCGTACTAAAAACATGATGTGGTACGGAGTATTGGGGACCAAGGAGCTGCTACACAGAACATATAAAAACCTGGAGCAGAAAGTCTTGCTGGAGGTGAGGAATTAGCATGCCCTTCTGTTGCTAAAACTGGGATGCCTAACTGCATCTCCTTCAGACACTTGACTTTGGCATGGTGATTCTGCTTGGTGATGTTAGGGTGTTTCCCTTGCGTGCCTGATACGATGTACTTTCTGTATCTCACCCTGAGCTAGCTAAAAGAGGCTTTTCCTGGTTTGGGAAGATAATTTGTATTCTCAGCCTATAAGGGAAGTGTCTTCCTGCTGGAAAGTACTAGCTGTCCCCAACTCAGTATTCAGCATAGATAAGATTGTTATGTTATATGTGGTATCTTATGTGAACACATAATTTTAGGTAGTAGGTGCAGTGGAAAGCTTTTAGTTTAACTACACTATAATGTGCATCAAACGGGAAAAGAAATATTCTTGTATGGGTCACGTACAGCATAAACAGGTAGCTTGCAGGAGTAGACCCTCATCACAGCAGACTGCATAGGTGTTTCAGAAGTTTTATTCCCCTTTCTGGAGGAATAAACCAAGAGGCTTTGCCAAGCCTCTCAGGTGTGCCCTGTTCCTGTTTGGGGAAAAGCAGCAACAGTATCTCTCTAAAATCCATGTCTGCCAAAGGAGAGGTGGTTCATGAGACATATCCATTGATATGTTCTACTCTGCTTGGCCAAGAATAAACTAGAAGAAACCTGAATTAATTTATTACTAAGCTGTGCAGGCTGTTTTCTGTTCTTAGAGCGTGTGTTCTGGCAGCAGGGGTTGTCTCCTGCTGTGCTAAGAGTAATGGTATCTTCTTTTCTGTGCAGTGTGATGGGAGGCCAATCCCTTTGCCCAGTCTCCAGGGAATTGCCGTACTCAACATTCCCAGCTATGCAGGAGGCACCAACTTCTGGGGGGGAACCAAGGAAGATGATGTGAGTATTCTCTACGGCAATCCAGGAAGTGTTTTACTTACTGTTGTTTTTAAAGTCATAGCCCCTGAGAATAGTGCTTGGAAGAAGAGGGCAAGGGGCCTGTCTGCACGTACTTTCTCTGTGAAGTGGATACGATACTGAAATCCAATCTTCAGCAGCTTTGAACCCAAGCAGCTTGTAGTGATTCAGAAAAAACCCCACAGATGCTGTCCTGGGCATTTGGACTTCCAGGAAGTGCTTTAGATTGACCTTCTTCCCTCAGATTACCTGAGAAGTAAAGCCCCTTGAAGGCAAAGGGAGTTAGAATCAGTCAGAAGCAGCGTATTTGAGATGAAAAAGTGCCTACTCTCATAAGAGTAATTATTGCCTTGTGGCCTACGGCCTTTGTGTTCGAATTATACTTTAGCTGTCATTGGAAGCACAGTGGGAATATTGAGGCTCCTTTTTCTCCCTCCTAGCTCACTGCAAATCTTCACCTTCTAGCCTCGTTAATTTTATACAGATTAAAAAGCATAACTGAAAGCCGACCCCCGAATCTTCACCAATAGGGGGTAAAGGAAACCACTTCAACAGGGCTGTATGTCAACTGAATTCTCTCTCCTTTGTATCTGGCTAGACATTTACAGCCCCCTCCTTCGATGACAAGATTTTGGAGGTGGTAGCAGTGTTTGGTAGCATGCAGATGGCAGTGTCACGAGTGATAAACCTACAGCATCACCGGATTGCACAGGTATCAGTTGCTTTTGTGAGCTCTTCTTGGCTCCCCCATCTCCAGTTCGTGATGTTTATGCCAATTTCAGTCACTAAGCCCTCCATTGTGCTCTCTCTTGTCCATGGAAAGAGCATCCACCAGGGCTGAAAATTAGCATGTCCAGTGACAATTTGGGCATGGAATTGTTTTCTCGTGTTCACTGTGGTAGGAGTTAGACCAGCAATTCAAATACAGATTTGTAGTCCAAAGACAAAGCAAATCGTCCCTGCTGCACAGGGGCGAGGCGTGCCCTGCCACCCAGGCACGTGTGCCTCTAGTAGCACTAGAGCTACAGTACCTGGGGAAGTGCTTTGGAAAGAAAGAGAATGTCTCATGCTTTTAGAAAACCAACATTTTAGAGCTTCTCTGATGCAGTCACTTCTTGCAGTGTCGGACGGTGAAGATAGCAATCCTGGGAGAAGAGGGAGTTCCCGTGCAAGTGGATGGAGAAGCCTGGATCCAGCCTCCGGGTTACATTTGGATTGTTCATAAGAACAGAGCACAGACCCTCACCCGAGACAGGGTAAGAGCAGCCTTGCATACACTATGTAGTACACACATGTTTCGATGTCACATACTCCTGGAGAGCATGGCAATGGCCACACATGAAAGCTTATCTTTGTGAATGTAAGAAGCGTATTTTGCTACGCACCATAAAACTTTTGGGAAAGAACGTGATTAAACTTGCATTCACCACTTGGGAAATGGCACAAATAAGGTTGTTTATGCAAGCTTATTTTGCTTCCTTTGCTTCCTAGGTGCCTTGTGACAGCGTTTCTTAACACGCTTGCATGCTGTTTTTCCCACAGGATGCCTGCCTCACTGAGTGCTGCAGATTGTCTGGATTCAGCTGTTCAATATTTTAATTTCTCTTTATTGTTCAATATGTGGCTTATACCTCGTTGACCAAGTAAAGCAGTGTCTTAGTGCTTTGTTCAGCACTGTGTGTCTGTCTCATCTCATAATTTTCAAATATATCTGACGAGTACCGGCAGATAAGGAAGCGTCCTTGCCGTTTCACTGCATTACTGAATGGTGGTAAGCCAAAGGAAAGGATAAAGGCCTTGCTGTGGCGCAAACAGGCTTTATGGTTCCTCCCAACTCTGTAACTGTCCGTGCATAAATGGTTTGGTTAATAGCAGCTCTTAATACTTTCCAGCAAATAGAAGTCCTCTGCAAAGGACTCACCTGCTGAATAACAAGAAAAGAGAGAACAACCAAGAGGAAAAAAGGGAAAGCAGCCTGATACAGGCCTGAGGCACATTGCCTGGCAGGAAGTTACAAGTATGATGGTATGGAAAGAAAGCAAGGGTGGGCGTACAAAGCCCCTGTCATGGTAGGACAGGGCAATACCCAAGACCCCTCGAGCTGGGAGAGAACAGTGGGTATTGATCTTAGAATCATAGAATGGTTTGGGTTGGAAGGGACCTTTAAAGGTCATCTAGTCCAACCCCCCTGCAATGATCAGGGACATCTTCAACTAGATCAGGTTGCTCAGAGCCCCATCCAACCTCACTTTGAATGTTTCCAGGGATGGGGCATCTACCACCTCTCTGGGAAACCTGGTCCAGTGTTTCACCACCCTCATCATAAAAAATTTCTTCCTTATGTCTAGTCTGAATCTACCCTCTTTTAGTTTAAAACCATTACCCCTTGTCCTGTTCATATTGATGTGAATGTTGTGGAGAGGAGGAGAGAGGAATAGTGTGCACAGTCTTTCCTGGAGGGTAAGAGGGGTTCTGCAACGTCACACTGAGACTGAAGGAGGTAGCACAGAGAACAAGGGGGAACAGGATTCCTGC